TTATGGTAACCTCATTCAGGAAAAAAGTTTCCCTTAAAATAGTCCTTAAAAATATAAATAATAAACTATGTAATAACGTAGTTAAGTTCGTCCGGACCGAAGTTTTTATACTGTTCACCATGAGATGGGCATTAAAAATACCTAAAACCAATCGCAAATTGAATGTGGGGGCTTTGTCATGGCAAATTGCTGCCAGGAGAAAATGAAATACTAAACTACGGAAATTAAGTTTTAAACTTGGGCTAGGAGCACGAACATACCGAAAATTACGCTTGACATTTGTATGGGACCCATGTAGTCAAAATGGATATTAAATATGATCTTCGAAGAAGCTGTTTACCCGCCAAGGTCCCGAAGTCCAAAGTCGCATCCAATTTGTAATGCTAAAATATAGTCACACCGGTTGGAAAATGCGTGCAGAACCATAATTTTTGATTTTTGGTCTGAAGATTTGCCACCCCATGAGAACACAAAATATTAGATTAGACCCAGCTGGGTTGATAAACATGTTAAAAATCCTCAAAATAACAAATTATATGAAGACTATACCTGATCATGGACCAATACCGATTTACTACCCATTAAAAATCCTAATATTCCAAATATCACATATCGGGGGTCGATATATTCCATTTTCATTTTTAAGCGAAAAAACCTTGATAAGCAGGAAAATTTGGCAAATCGGTTTGCAATCAATTGCCCGTATTAGCGAACAATTTTCGGTACAGTAAAAACTCGCTAATCCGGATAATTGATTGCAGACCCCAATCCGGATTACCGAGATTTCCGGATTATCGAGTTTTATTAATTGGTTTAAATTTATATTAATTTGGTGATAATTTAATTATTTTTATGCTTTTATTAAAAATGAAATTTATTCATTTCAAAAATATGAACTTTGAATATAATAGGTACCATTTTCAATTAAATTTGCAACGATTTTTTTATTAAAATAAAAAGTAACGTATCTTTACAATCCGGATTTTTGAGTCAAATAAGTCAATCAATCCGGATTATAGGATACGCAATGGGTTGTGAAATGCAGTCCGGATTACCGAATAATCCGGATTTTCGAGGTTCGGATTATCAAGTTTATACTGTATATATTTTATGGGGTCTCAGAATGATTAAATATACTCTCGACCTTATTGTAAAGGGCATAATAATCCAAATAATAATTAAAATAATTCACGCTTAAATTTTTTTAAATTTATATTTGCAAGGTCTATCACAAAAGAAGGTGGACCATTAAAAGTGTAGATTTGTGACGTATTTGTTTTAGGATCCTATGTATCATAATATTAACAATCTATACTGATAGTCTTTAAAAATATATCCACTGAAAATCTACGCTTATTGGAGTGTCTTAAACATTATTTGCAATATGGTTTCTATTCTGATTTTCACTACTTATGGACCTCAATTTAGGTCGAATCTAATTTAGTAATTTATATTAAAAATCAAAATCGTGTTTCCAGACCTGTCATTCAATGACAAAATAGAAATAGGTTTTGACTTTAAAAGTGTATCTACAACATGCCCGACAACTTCTATTGTATGAATGCTATTTATTTCAACAGAGTCCTGCTTGTAGTTAATAATTCGAGGGTAGTAATAAGTCATTTCATTAACTAACACAATCCACTTGCAAATTTGTCCTTAACATTTAGTTTAATTACCACGATTGCATATTTCATAAAATTAAAAATAGTATTAACAAACATTCAACAAATTACTGTAATTTAATAAATAAACACTACGCCGATTTCAAGTCCAATTGTTTTTCAATTTCTGTGCCTTCATACAACGCCTGTTGGCGCATAGCCTTTTCCAATTGGGCATATTCGAAACGTCTTACTGACCACTGATACCTATAGCAAATAAAACAATTTCTTAATTCATTTCACACAACCTGTGAACATTTTCCTCTTACCTGCACCATGCCCAGTATGACAGTGTCCCGCAGAAAAATGTTCCAAAGCCAACGTGTGTTGATAGCTTCGTGCGAGAAGTGGCCAAAAATGTGAGCAGACCTATACCGATGCCACCACCAATACCATACAGAAAACTATTACGGAAGCAGGGAATTTGTGAGACATCACGGCCATACAGCATTAATCCCTAAAACATATAGTGTGGTTTTGTTAAAATTATTGGGTATTTATAGTTTTTAATTCATTGTGAAATAAACCTTTTTTGGTTCCTCCTCCATCGTGTGCTTGTGTTACGTAGTTTTTCTTTTCTTTACTAAAGCCGACCGTGTAAAAATGTAAATATTTAGAATGTCAACTGAAAGCAAAAAGATTATCATATGTTGTGGTGCAACTTTAGCAGTGACGAGTGGCAAATGTTGACAGTCACATGTTTAATTGTTGGGGTTCTTTAGATTAAAGAATATTATGGTATTTTTTTGATGTGGAGCTCAAAAGGATTTAGAGGCGTTTAAAACATGTTAATTAATCTTCAAAATGTAGGCCAAATTACAAAGTAAAATGTTTGTAAAAAGTAAAGTAAATGTTTATAAGACAATACAGTTGACCGAGAAAAATGGTAATCGGAATTGCCAACCGATGGGCTGATTTCGCAACATTGGACTCTTGCTCTACTTTTAAATAAATTAAGGGAATAATGGGAATATTAGTCTCTTAGTTTTATACCCCCAACGTATGATATATTAGATTTGTCATTCACTCAATATTCTTGATCGGAATAAAATGTTTTCTATTTACCCATTACGTCTCTTGAAATTAGTATAGAACTCGCAATATGACGTTCTATGCGAACCTAGCCTAGATCAAGTCCGAAGATGGGAACCATTGGTCCACTCCTTCTGGTACATCCCCCTCAAGTGGTCAAAAATTTCAATATTTATATAGGGGAGAGGGGGGCACCTTTGAACACTTTTTTCTTTCAAGCCTTACAAAATTTTTTATTTTATAATTTTTGGTTTCTTATAAATTTTAACTAATAGGTACATATGTAACCTTTAAAATGAATATACATATGACATACTTTAAGCTTGATAAATATATGTTATTACTGTTTTAATGGACGAAGTCGAAGTGTTCAAAACTGCCCCCCAGGCGGGCAGCTTTGAACAAGGGTTAGCATTTTTGAACGACATGGTTTTTTACGGTGTTTATGTTCAAATATGTATGTATTTTATTCATACATATCAGAAATGCATTTATTCATTAAAGAATATATAAAAAATTTCGAAATTTAAAAAATTTAGATCAAAATTTAGTAAAACATGAAATGACTTAAAACAAAAATTAATATGGTTAAAAATACAGTTAATTTTGTAATCTTATTAGCCTATTTGAAATTTTAAGAAATTGAAGTCAAAAGTTGAAAACTCGTTTTTTTACTCGAGTTTAATGGGCATGTTCAAAGGTGCCCCACCCATGGCATTTTACTGAAATTTATAATAACTTTTTTTGTAATAAATATTTATGAAAGAAATTACATTAGTTATGTTTGAAATGATTGTTGGAATGCAAAAAATTTGTTTGACGAAAGAAAACTATCACAGAATTCTTCCTGCGCCCTTACAACCAAATGAATAAAAGTTTACAATGACACTGCGAAAACATGGTCACCCATGCACAATTTTTCGACAACTTGAAAAGCAAGCCAAAGTGGTTTACGCAGATAGAGAACAAGATTGCCATATACAAAAATGTGGTTGCGGGTCGGAAAATTTTTAAACCAAGATTTAATGAGCGCTGTTCAAAGGTGCCCCCCTCTCCCCTATCCAATATCAGGCGAATGGAATGCCCGATTTGAACCAAACTTTGCACAACCTATTATCTTTACCAAGCCTAGATTAAGTCCAAAGGTGGGATCCGTCTGCCCTTTATTTATTTTAGCCATTTCATTGTGTAGAGCTACAGTGAAATTAGGCAAATAAATATGACTATACCCTCGCATTTGTCAGATTTTGCAATTGATCATACAAATTACCGTCCGCATTAAAAATCCTACAAACGACCTATTTGTTCAAATACACACATTTGAGATTACATTTCCTAGCACTGTTACACTGTGGATTGCGCTGATTTAAATAATACCAACTCCAGGGAATAGATACATGCCGTTTGATTGGCAACCGATTGTGTCTTGGAAAAAGAGAATCATAAAAATATATCCTGATGATCATTAGTTTTTTTCCAAAAGCTCACATTCACTCATTCACTCCACCTAAAGTCCTCATTCTGTAGAAAATAGTCAACATCGTTTTTGTGTCCCGATATTTGGCTAGTGTGGTCCATATACATAAACCATTAAAGGAATTTTACGGGCATCAATTATGGCCTGCATTATACCCACCTAACGATCCTTCTGTTCGAATTGAGATAACATTTGCTAGCATAGATTATCGGATAAGCAATTGCTGGAATGCGCTGATCTAAATTATCCTAATTGAGGGAACTGATAGAAGCCTGCTGATCGGCAACCGATTGTGTCTTGAAAGAAGAGAAGAACAATCAAACAACTAAAACCAACCGGACAATCGCTTCTTTTTGTCAATAGTAAAGTCTCAAGGAACCTTAAATAACCTTATATGAAGACTATTGTAAAAATGGGGCTATATATTGGGGCCTATTACCAAGATTTTATATGATATCAAATCATTAAATTCGTGAAATTTATATGACGTTTTTGTCTAAATATGTTCTACGAGTTCCACTTTTATTTCATCGGACGGGCGTGGCTGAATCAATATAGAATTTTACTTCGACCAAGGTGGATATAGAATCGGAATTCATCTCTCAATTCAGAAAAATCCGGCAATCACAATCGATATTAACTGAAAAGTTAAAAAATCGATAACTAAATCGATTGTTTGCCAGCACTATGTAGTTGGCAACACTGTTATTATTATTTTGATTTGTTCGTGTAAAAAAACAAATTTCGTACACGACACCTAGTTTATAAAAGTATAATTTTTATAAGTTTTATTTATTTATAATAGCTAGAAATCTAGGAATTTTATACAAATGGAGGTGGCTTTCATGGAAATGGCAAAGGGTAAGGATGAAATAAAATAGTAAAGCATATATCTGCTAAATCTTCAATTTCTTGCAAAGTAGGTCGGACAAGTGGTGATGGTATGGAACAAGAGGATCTGCAAGAGAAAGTCGGGGAACAAGCTGTAGCAGCCCCTCAAACTGATAATCAGGTCAGCGGTGCTAATGACGTTGAGGTGTCGAATATACGAAAAGAATCAATAACTGCAGCATTGGACAACAAACAGAAAACGAGAAAAACATCAAGCTGCTCAAACAGCGGCAAGGCCAACAATGGTCTACCATTGCCCGGCCTGCACACCCTCTATCGTAGGCCAGAATGTATTACACGAAGTTTAAAACCAGTCGTTCCTAAGGGTGAATTGATAATGATGAAACCCAGACTTGTTGATCCCGTAAATGCTGTTCCAGAACATAAAAAGACAAAACCACCCAAATTTATACCCTTTGAACCATATCCAGGTGCTGTTAATCCCATTGTGCCAAAAGCTCGTAGTGGTTCGATTACACCTAGAACGGGTAACACAAATTCGGTGAAAGCAAATCGCAATAATTTGGACATTGGTGTGTTGGTATCACAAATGTCCAGCATTAGGACACAGGAGTTACAAGATGCCAGCGGCACAGAGGCGACTTCCGATAGTAGCTATCCCCAAAATACATCGACTGTCAACTCAGAAGAGTTGGAAAAACTGAAAGAGGAATTGAAAAAAGTCAAAGAGGAACGAGACTATTTCCAGGGCCAATTTAAGTTTCAAACTCAAGTCAATGCAGAACTGAAAAATCTTCTCGTTGCCTCGGTGGGAGAAGATTTACTGACTAGAGTCAATGTATTGACTGAGGATAAACTTCAATTGGCCCGTGCTTTATTGGATACAGCAAAGAATTTAACCACTCACACTGAACAAATTGAATTCCTTGCCGGGCAGTGTGAAGTATGGCGTTCGAAATTTTTGGCAAGTAGTGTTATGGTGGAGGAGCTGGCCCGTTGGAAGGCCGATTTGACACAGAAAAATCAAATGCTTACCGAATCGACAAAGAAGCTGTTGCACACCACCCATCAATTACGACAAATGCACTTGGATATGTTGAAGAATTTAAAATTCTTAGCCAAGATACGTTATCTCAATTTGCCAGCTACGGATGTGGTTAATTTAGCCGTAGAAAATTTAAATATTTTACAACAAATGGTTTTACATTCCGGTGTGGGAATGCCCGAAGGTGACTTGACAATATCCTCGGCATCCACTTCACCACTCTGTGATTCAGAAAAATATGCTGTACAGGCATTGGAATTTATTAGTCAACCTCTGATGGCAACGGATGAGGCCATTAAAGCCTTGTTTGGACAAACACAACGACCATATGTCATCACGCAACAAAGTTCCGAGGTGGTGGCGGAACAAAATATAGATGATACCAAAACGGTAGAATAAATACGAAATATAAAACAAATTATGTGGTTGTATATACATATGTTTTTAATTTAACAAAAGGAAAAATCAAAATGTATTTGTTTATTCTTATTATTTTATTTTATATATATCCTTTCGTCCCTTTTTATTTTATAGCCATAATAATAAAATCAAACATAAGCAATATTATTACAAGTTATACAAAAAACAACAAATTTAATTATTATTTACAATATGTAGAGATTAACCAAAGGGGGAGTGATTTCAAATCAAGAAATGCAATTATAGCCTCAATATTACATCGCATTAAATCTTTTTCACTGTACCATACATATCCAAACGACGTTGAGGGAAAACGGTAATCTGTTGACGAACTGACTCCACCAAAGAGAAATCTAAAATGGAAGAAAAAATATTTAGTTTTTATTTGTTTTAAATATGTATTTGCGGAATATTTTTAATGACTTTTGCATTGTCAGCCTTGTTATCATTATTCTACAACAGGTCGTATAAACTGATAAGATTGTCAATGTCTTGTAATCATTTCTAAAAACTTATAATCAAAATAATATAAACAGATATGTTTATAATGAATTACTAAAATCCACAGTAGTCGAATTTCATTGAAACTAGAACGAATAACATACGAATTTTTCTTCAAACCTGTATTGTTTTTTAACCCCAAGGGAATATAAACATTTTTTTTATTTATTTTAGTTCTATATTTAATTTGTATTCGGCAGGTGCGGTTTGGTTCTTTATCACATCAATATGTAAATTGTATGCTAAAATGTGTCGTTCATATTCCGACTGCTATTAGTCTTGTACAACAACAATACTAGCTTATGACATATACATTTTGAATCCAAATTTTGCAAGTCATCAGTCTACAGCGCAAAAACAAACCACCAGACCGAAATACTAATAAAAATATTTAAACAATTTATTTTTAAAATAAAACAAGAAAATACACCAGTATACACGGGTATATTTCCACATCTCATGCACATATGCCACTCTAACATAAGGTAGAAGGTACATATATTAAATTTGCCATTCTTTTTGATACTCCTCTAAATAATTGCCGGAGAAAATTCTATATCAATTTAGCCATGTTCCTTCGACCGTCTGTTAAAAGCACGATAGTGATCGTAACATTTAATATAAGGTTCTGAAATTTTGCACAGACTTTACTTGTACAACTAGGATGTTTGGTATTGCAAGCGGTATACTCCTGTTTAAATCACGTTAGAGATCGCAAATTTAAAAAAAGAGCTCTGAAATTTTGCACAGTCATTACCAGCACATCTGGAATGTTTGTTTTTGCTAGCGGTATACCGGTATTTTTGATGTTTTTCAAACGAATTGGCCTGAAGTAGGTTATAATTCTGTTTTATATCTGCCTACAAAGAACTGTCAATATTGGTCAATATTTTAGAGTAGCTCCCATATAACAGTATCTCCCAAATTTCGGTATTTTGGAGAACGTTTTTTTTTACCAAATTGGGTGCCAAATCTTCCTATCAAAAATTATCAATATCAGATTGGAATTTTGAAGATTTCAGTCATCTTTTTCAACCACCACACATCATTTCAGGTATATTCTACGTTGTAGCTTAACCCTTTCAGTGTTTTTGTCGAATATATTCGACATTTAAAATTACTATCTTCCTTTGTAATTTTTCGACTCGACTTTTTTGACTCTGAAAGGGTTAATATCAGATTGGAATTTTAAAGATTTCAGACATATTTTTCAACCGGTAAGTTCTAGGTCCTAGATCATTTCCGGTATGTTCTTGGTCCTAGCTCAATCTGAGTATCTAAAGTTTGGTATTACGTTTTCTCCTGGAAATCCCACCTTCTTTACAAAAGTTTAGAGGTATTGCAAAGAATGCTAAGCTTATTTATTAGCCGTACATTTAATTATAATTCTCCGTGGTATTTTTGGGCCCAACATTTGTTGAACAATGTCAAAGCCGCGAGGTGGAGGCTTCAGTAATTATTTATGGGATTTCTACATATTGAATAACAATTGGGGAAATCAGTGAATCTTTGGAGAGAGTCTCGGAGGAAATGACTCAGTGCCAGTGACCCCAAGATTGGTTAGTTGGAAATTTGTTGCACTCAAATTAACCCCTTTCTTATGTTTTAAACCATCTTGCATTAAAAGAGCATTCGATAAGGATAACTTGTTGATCTCTTATGTTGATATGTTGTTGATATGTATGCTATACTCAGAGACCCAGACAGACACGAGTAGTCTTAGCACAGCTAAGAATCAGAATGGTGCAATCGGGTCAATCCCTATAGGGCACGAATTGACGGCACAATACATAACATATACCAACCATTTGGACTAGGATATTTTGCACTAATTAAACTGCCCAAATCGCGGATAGAGCATTGGTTCGGTGTGGAGTTGCATTACCACCCGGTGCCTGTCCCATAGAAAAGAAGGAGTTTTATATGGGCTCCGCTCCTCATCCAAGGAGGCGATCACGTCCAAATACATGTGATCGATTGGTACCTGAATTTTGGTGTTGTTGTTGTAGCAGCCCTATTGCTTTTACACAATGGGCTGAGTTGACAGACTTTGATCGAGAAAGGCTCAGTTCGTTTAGGATCGTAGATCGCAAGGTAGATATCCACGTACTCTAAGCATCTCTGTCCAACTAAGCCTACGCACTTGTCACTGAATTTTCTATGAACGCAGCCTTTGCAGGTTGCAACCTTCCTCCATTTGGACACAGAGGAGTCAGAACCGGACAAAACCGCAATAACAACATTCCATCGATGCCTTTTTGATGGCTGGAAGCTTTACCTGGCTTCTTAGCTGGCATGACCCATCCTTATGACTAACTTTAAAAAACAAGTAAATACGTTATTAAGCCTTTATATCCTCCACCAACATGTTGGCACTCAAAATACATATAAGCGGTCGGGACCTTTACTGCATACTAAAGTTTGGAAATTTCTTCTAGAACCTCCAATATACTGAAAAATATATACCTATATTGAACGGAATTTCCTATATAGATCCTATATTCTGATTTTTTCTGCAAATCCGCATGTATTTTCTAATTGTTTTAGCACCAATTAACTTTGAATCCGTATTACAGCTATTTACTTTTTCGTATAAGTCCATACTGAGACTGGAAGACTCTACTATTGTCAAACATATTGCTGTTCGTTTCGTGATCAGCAGGACGGTAAAATATTTAAAAAAAAATCGGAGTTGAGTCCCTAAGACCAGCTTTTACGAAATATGTGGAAATTTCCAATAGCCAAAGCAGTATGGAATACTTTACCGTATAGCAGTTACATGCCGTAGACGGTAGCACTTAAAATGTACTCGCATTTAAGAGATGCAAATCATAGTGATATTATTGTTATGCAGACATAATTATCTGAAGTTTTTTTTTATTTTTTCACTTACCAATATCAGCAATGATGGTCTCTTCGTATTCTTTGGCCTGCTTGATTACCTTAGCCCAGGGATCGACAACCATGGAATTACCATAGGCTACATAATCAGCTGTTTCATCGCGGGCTGGTGAGATTGTTACCACATACAATTGATTGTCATTGGCACGGGCACGTTGTAATAATTCCCAATGCAAGGGACCGGAAGTCATATTGAAGGCAGCAGGATACATCAACATTTCACAACCTGCAAAAAACCGAGAATATATATTTAAAAGCCCTTTTGGAATTTTTATTTATTCAAGTAACATACCTTCAATTCTGTACAGCTTGGCCATTTCTTCGAAACGAATATCATAGCAAATGCCAATACCAATTTTATGACCATCAATTTCAATAATGGTAAATTGATTACCCGGCGACAGGGTATCAGATTCCTTGAAACGAATACCACCCTTAACATCGGTGTCATATAAATGTACCTTACGATGTTTGGCAATTAATTTACCCTCGGGACACCACACAGTACAGGTATTGTAGAGTTTGTTATCTTCACCCAATTCCGGGATGGAACCACCTACAATATACACGCCCAATTCCTTGGCCAATTCGGAAAGAGTTTTAGCTGATTCTCCGTTCGGAATGGTTTCGGCATATTCAGGGAAATATTTTGTCCCATAGGGTGAATTGAAACATTCTGGTAGTGCGACCAAACGGGGTTTGTGTTCCTTCACCGCTTCGCGAATCTTTTCCGAAGCATGTTGCAAATTGGCCAATTTATCTTTGGTCACTTTCAATTGTATCAGTGCCAATCTCATGACTGTGTCGATGAAATTAGAACCAGCAAAAATAGAAGAAAAAAGAGAACAGTTGTGAATCTCGCCAAGTATCATGGTTAAATGAGAAAGAGACTTACTTTGACTTGCAACTTTACTCATGGCTTTCGTCTTTTAATCAGTTCTTTTAGTTGTTTATGGAATTGTTGTTTGTGTTATGTGGTTTTAACGATATTTTATTATTATTATGTTGTTACTTAATATTTTTGTTTATGTTAATGCGTTGAGTGGCTGCGGTGGACTGATAAGACGACATTACCAACCAATAGCAACAATAACAACAGGTGATGCCCGAGTGGTGTTGCCAACCACAAGAACATTGCGAATTCTAATCAGTGCAAAAGCTTTTAATTCAATGTGTTTATGAAAGGGCCTTTTTTGTACGCGATTCATTATAGTTGGGGTTCGTGCGAACTAGAGACGTATAGCTATCATAATAATTTGGAGGCTGGTTTATTTGTGCCCACAATTTCCATTGTCAACAATTAGTGGAACTTTCCTTCGTGATAAGAAGCAAAACAACAATAATTGTGTCTGTTTGATATATACCAGAAACCACAATCAACGAAATTGTATAAACAAATTTTTGCGACAGTTGTCTTCTGTCTAGCCAAACAGACAACTACGTTTAGATTGCAATTTATTGTGCTCAACCAGTTCGGTGTCTCGTAAAGGGATCTGTAGCAGTTATTTTTGGAATACAACTAATTTGTATATTTTTTTAATACAACTAATTTGTATATTTTAATTTCAGGATACTCCATGTATCATTCTCCTGGCATAAAATTCGATTATCGGCATTAACTGGATCTATTTTGAGCATTTGCAAGTGTTATTAGCTGGGAAATCGAGAAGAAAATAACTGCATTGTTAATTGTGTTGAAGCCGAGAGATGTCATGCGATCGGGATAAAACCAATGATGTATAATCACTGAATTGAAGGAACATTAGGTTGGGTGGGTGAAGGAGGGACCAGTGTAATTGGTCCGTAGAAACATTGGTTGTTTCATCGTATTGAGTTAGTGTCTATTCAGCCTCTAGGATGATTCTATGGACAATTCTAAGCAACTTTGTTGAAGGAACCATAGGTCTATCTCGAGTTTCCCACTCTTCAGAAAATATGTTTTTCCCTATATCATCAGTTTGATTAAAAATTCGATTATGTTGTGTATATATGTGTATATTGGGGTTTTTGGGATCGATAAATTAATTTCTGATCTTTATTTTTAAATATGACCACCGCCATATATACATATTTAACTATTTTTCGTCTATTTTCTGAGAAAAATTACAAGTTTTTCGGTAAAATTGATAATCGAATTTTGAATCAGAATGATGTTATAGGGAAAATCATTTTTTAAAAATTGGGAGTCTCGAAAATCGAGATAGACCCATGGTTCCTTCACCAAAGTTGCTTAGAATTGTCGATAGAATCATCCTAGGTGCTGGATTTTTCGGCTCCATACAAATTGGCCCGCTCTAGTGTGTATAGTTCATTTTCTATGTAGTTTTTTTACTGCTTGTACCTTTATTATGTCCAAAAGGGGTTGTGCAACAGAGTTATTCTTCATAGAGAACTAATTTATTTTAGGTGCATCATTTAGAAAATTTCGAAATGTTCACTATAGGCAACACTTTTGATAGTGATTGCAACAAGAGAAAATGTTTTCTTGGATGTATTCAATATTTTCACAGATATATTAGGTTACAAAGTTTCAAACATATATCTACCTTTTAGACCCTTCACCAACTTAGAAATTACCGCCTGCCCGTCAGTTGAAATCGCGATAGAACTTGCAAATATTCAAGATTTACTCATACATTGCTACTATTTCTAAGATGTTTGGCATTGAAAAATGGAATATAAGGTGTCCCAATTTTCGGTATTTTGAGAATTTTAGTTACATTCTTTATACTAATTTTTTTGCTTCTCATTGCGCATTCTTAGCAGAAATTCTTAACATTTACCCACATTTAGGTATAGTCTCCATATGAGTATACCTAAATTTGCGAATAGACTGTAATATAAGAAATATTTAATATGGTTCTACGTTTATGTATATATTCCGTATTACGGTACCTCTAGTTTTCAGGATATTCTCTAATTTGTTTCATTGTGTGGAAAATGTTCTTACCAGAAATTATCAGTAGTTTTTTCGTCTTTAGTCCACTTTTTTTAGTATAAAATGTATAGGACTATATATCGTGTGTAGACAAAGTCTAAATATCTTTAAAAAAATCTTTAAGACTTAATAGGTTATTCGTATACGAAGAGTTTCGTCCAATTTGATAAACACGTGTTAGTTAAGCGAAGGCTTAACAGTAACATTTTAATTTTAAGTCCGTGGGCGTATTATACTTTTTAAATTGTGTCTTCCTTGTGAGCCGTCCGAAGACGAACTACATTATCAATATTAGTTCATCTTTGGATATAGCCTCCATATAAATGTTTCGCCACATAATAATACAAATGTTGATGATTCTAGTCGAATTTTCCAACCGATGTGATTATATTTTGGAATTTGGTATAACCCCTACATAACGATATTTTTAAGGTTTTAGGCACATTTGGGCTATACTATGACTGACATGTTTTTTTTTTTTTTTTTTGAGAATGAAATATACTTTATGCTGAAAATTTTAAGTGTAGGCCTATATTTTTACATAGCCTTCATAGTAAGTTCTAGATGATTTTAGGTATTTTGACCCTAGTCTCCTAGGATTTTGCAGAACATTTTATATCTAGGACCTAGACTGGATAGATATGTTAAGTAAGGCGACCAGATTTTGAAAATGAAAATATATGACAATAAGAAAAAAATATATCTTTAAGGGTACCCCCATTCTCGGTATCAATTTTTTGTATTTAATTCGAATCTACCATAATCTCAAGAACTCTCTGCTTGCAGCACCTCGAAATATATTCTTGATCAGAAAAATCTATGACGATTCACGCATGTCCGTCTGTTAAAATCATGATAGAGATCGCAATATTTAAGATAGAGCTCTGTATTTTAGGCCAGACATTGCGAGTACAACTAGGATGTTTGGTATTGCAAATAGAATATATCGGTCCACGTTTTCTTGTAGTCCTCATATAACGGTAAACCCCAATATTCAGTATTTTGGGGAATTTTGACATGTTTTTCCTCCGAACTGGCTGTATTTTGGTTCTCATTGAATAACACATACCCGTACCAAAAATTAATATTGACCCAAGTTTCAGGGCAGACCCATATGACGGTTCCATCCAATATTCGGTATTTTGGAAACTTTTTCCAACCGAATTGACTGTAATTTGGTATTTTGGATTCTCATTGAATAACACACATCCATACTAAAAATGATTAATATTGACTAACGTTGAAGGGCAGACCCCATAGTGTGGTAAAACCTATTATGAGGATTTTTGGCACGTTTCTCAATAAATCTGGCTGTAGGTTGGTATTTTGGGTTCTCATAACGGCATCACCACATCTCCGCACTAAAAATTATTAATATTACCCAAGTCGGTATTTTGAGTATTTTTGACACGTTTTTTAACCGAATCGGCGGTGAATTGATATTTTGCACTCTCATTGGCTGTCGATTTTGTCTTTACATATGCTTTTTATTTCGTTTTCTCTCTCATAAAAAACTCCCTGATTATTGTGGATTGAGAATTTACATTAAAGTAAATATAAGCCGAAAATGATAATTGAACCACCAAAGAATCTAAATATAGTTTTCTGACTTTTCCTGCATATCTTCTCAATCTTTATTTTGGCATAAGCCAAGCTAAGGCGACCAGGCTGCGGATCTTTTTAAAATGTTTACCATATGTTGAACTTCCTGATTTATGGGACTCCAAAGCTCCGCGGATCGTTTCGAAATGTTTACCATATGTTGAGGTACATATGGTATTGAAAATGGCCTATAGCGGTTCACGTTTTGGTATAGTCAAATATTCGTTTTTGGGCACGTTATTCATTCAAATTCAATTTAATTTTATATTTTGGATTCACATTGAGTCTCTACCTAAAATTATAAGCGTTAATTATTCGGTTTTTTGAGCACGTTTTTCAATCGGATTGACTATAACTTAATATATTAAGTTCTTATTGGTAATCTTCCTACTTAAATATAAAGATACTGTATATTGAGGATGGTTGTCAACCGTCACGCGTCATTTTCGGTATGTTCAAGGTGGTAGCTCAATTTTCCGACCTGAGTGTCAGTAGTTTGATGTTTCTTTTTCTCCTAGCAGCAATTTACCATGACATAACCCCAATGTGAAATTTTAAGTATTTTGAATGCCCATTTCATGGTGAGTGGGTATACAAATGTTGGACCGGTCGAAATTAATGTGGTTTTTATTTGTGTTTTTTATTTTATATTTTATTTTTATAAGTAAATTTATTTAAAAATTACAAATTATGTTGTCTATGCCACGTACATACATATGTCTGTGTGTGTGTGTTAATACAATTGTTATTTCATTTAAACATATAAAGCTACATAGAATATTATAAGAAGAAAACTTATTTAAAAAAATCAAAATTAAAAGATAGATATTATGCTATTTTACATAAAAAATAGAAGTACAAAAGAAGGTGGGGTTGGGGGATTATATGTGGGATATAAAATTGTTTGGGGACAGTTCACAGATACAATTGTAGATCTATCTATAAGTTAGAGTACGACATCAGTTCTTTCTTTCAAATAAAACGGGGAAGGGTTTATCCTTGGGTGGCTGCAACCAATTGTCCTCGGAATATTTAACATTATTTTCAGTCTCAATAACATGGAAAGTGTAGGCGTGGCGACTCTTTTGTGAGCGATTCGAATCACTTTTATGAACCACATTGCCGTGGATAATAATGCAGGTGCCTAGAAAAAAATTAAATTATTAATATCACACATAAAATGTATATGTCTATGTCTGCAATCTTACCTTTACTACATTGTATGGGTGTAAAACTAGAATGAGGATAAATCGGTGCAGCTCTATCGTAAATCATCAATTCCTGTGAATCCTTTTCGGGATTACGAATATAACGACGATGCACTCCACTCTG